ATATACGACCCAATCAAAAAGTGGGCTAAAGAACTAAACAGACATTTCTCCAAAGAAGACATACTGATGGCTAACAGACACATGAAAAGATGCTCAACATCACTCATTATGAGAAATGCAAATCAAACCACAATGAGGTACCATTTCACGCCAGTCAGAATGGCTGCTATCCAACAGTCTACAAACAATAAATTCTGGAAAGGGTGTGGAGAAAAGGGAATCCTCTTACACTGTTGGTGGGAATGCAAACTAGTACAGCCACTATGGAGAACAGTGTGGAGATTCCTTTAAAAATCTGGAAATAGAACTGCCATATGACCCAGCAATCCCACTGTTGGGCATACACACTGAGGAAACTGGAATTGAAAGACACAGGTGTACCCCAATGTTCATCACAGCACTTTTTATAATAGCCAGGACATGGACGTAACCTAGATGTCCATCAGCAGATGAATGGATAAGAAAGCTGTGGTACATATACACAATGGAATATTACTCAGCCATTAAAAAGAATGCATTTGAATCAGTTTTAATGAGGTGGATGAAACTGAAGCCTATTATACAGAGTGAAGTAAGCCAGAAAGAATAACACCAATATAGTATACAAATGCATATATATGGAATTTAGAAAGATGGTAATGATAACCCTGTATGCAAGACAGCAAAAGAGACACAGATGTACTAAACAGTCTTTTGGACTCTGGGAAAGGGCAAGGTCTGGAGGATATGGGAGAATGGCATTAAAACATGTAAATTATCATATGTGAAATGGATTGCCAGTCCAGGTTCGATGCATGATACATTGTGCTCTGGGCTGTTGCACTGGGGTGACCCACAGGGATGGAATGGGAAAGGAGGAAGGAGGGGTTTCAGGATGGGGAATGCAGGCATACCTGTGGCTGATTCATGCCAGTGTATGACAAAACCACTACAGTATTATAAAGTAATTAGCCTCCTATTAAAATAAATAAATTTATAAAACATTTTAAAAAAGAGCAGAGAACCTGAATATATATTTTTTCCAAAAAAGACATACAGATGGCCAACAGACGCATGAAAGGATGCTCAATATCACACATAATCATGAAAATGGAAATCAAACTCACACTGAGATACCACCGTACACCTGTCACAATGACTATTATCAAGAAATACAAGAAATACACTGTTGACGGGAATGTAAATTGATACAGCAACTATGGAAGATGGTATGGAGATTCCTTAGAAAACTAGGAATAAAACCACCATATGACCCAGCAATCCCACTCCTAGGCATATACCCTGAGGAAACCAAAATTGAAAGAGACACATGTATCCCATTGTTCATTGCAGCACTATTTACAATAGCTAGGACATGGAAACAACCTAGATGTCCATCGACAGATGAATGGATAAAGAAGTTGTGGTACATATACACAATGGAATATTACTCAGCCATAAAAAGGAACACATTTGATTCATTTCTAATGAGGTGGATGAACCTAGAACATATTACACAGAGTGAAGTGAGTCAGAAAGAGAAACAACATATTCTAACACATATATATGGAATCTAGAAAAATGGTACTGAAGAATTTATTTAAGGGCAACAGTGGAGAAACATACATAGAGAATAGACTTATGGACATGGGGAGAGGGGAGGAGAGGGTGAAATAAATGGAAAGAGTAACATGGAAACTTACACTACCATATGTAAAATAGATAGCCAGCAGAAATTTGCTGTATAGCTCAGGAAACTCAAACAGGGGTGCTGTATCAACCTAGAGGGGTGGGATGGGGAGGGAGATGGAAGGGAGTTTCAAAAGGGAGGGGATACATGTATACCTATGGCTGATTCATGTTGAGGTTTTACAGAAAACAGCAAATTCTGTAAAGCAATTATCCTTCAATAAAAAATAAATTAATTAAAAAAAAGTCAAGGAGGTGATATGAATGTTTCCCCCTACTGGGTCAGGAGAAGCCCCCTCTCCGAAAGGCAGAGATAGGAGGCTCTTTTTTCTCCTGGACTTCAGTTGCTGAAGGAAACCACTTGACCTTGATTTGTGGATAAATTTCCTCAAGAGCTAGCCTTGTGCCTTCCTCTAACTTTTGTATGACTCACAGCTTTGTATCTGCCTCCTCTCAACTATGGTGTTTATTTCAAGACTTTGGCCTTCTTAGAAATAACCTCAAAAGAAGAAGATAATTATCTGACTGAATGAGATAATTACATGTTAATGACTGATTGACTCTTCAGGTTAAAGATCTGTGGTTTCCTTGCACAGCATACAGTTGACATAATCTGGAGTCAGAAGTACTGGGTTTCATCTTTCAAGCCTTAACATTTCAGCCTAGTCCTTTTAACTCTATGACTCAGTCTCTGTAACTGCATGGAAATGCCCTGTGTATTCCATGCAACTCCAGTGATGTTCATATATTTTGAAATATATTTTCATATATTTCATATATTTTGAAATTTTTCTAAAATATCCTATTTTCAGTGAAAAAAATTTAGGCTACAATTTGAGATGTAAGGGATAGCAGGATATAGCTACTGCTTCAGGAAAGACAGACCATGAAACCTTTTATATTTTGTTTGCAAAGGTCATTGCATCATTTGTATGATGCCACATTTAGTGTTTTGTGTCTGTAAATTTCAAGACACCTTCATTGTAATGTTTTCTACACATCGTGTCATCAAGCATCTGATCAGGTTCACAAGCTTAGTGACTGAGTGGTAGCTGAAGGAGACGACAAGAAGCTTCCATTTTAATCATCAACATTTGGGCTCAGATGTATGATCAGAATGAGAGTGCAGCAGTCTGGACATGTAATCAGAAATACAGCTCCAAAACTCAGTGTCAATCCTGAGGATAAGAAGGGAACCTCTGTGTTCAAAATTTTAGCAATCTCTGTGTCGGAAGAGAAATCCTTATTAGACATTTGGGGTTTTGTTGCTGAAGGGTTAGATAAAAATCCAGGACATGAAGGATATCTGCCTTGCTTCCTTTGATTGTGAAAAAGGGTGACATTTACTTTGAATGCTATAAATTGAAACATTAAGTCGTGATACTACACAAGCACATTCCTTATAGCACTGCAATTGTTCAGTCAAAGGATATGAGAAGAAAGTATTTCCTTGATGTTTGCAAAGCAAGTGTTTAGTTACTATGAAACAAAGGAAAATATGTACATTAGACTAACTATGAGGATTTAGAAACTCAAACTGTGTTTTTTCTGAAATTTGTATTTAGTGAAAGAAATTGTTCTTTCTTTTGAAAGGGGGAGTTTGGAGGGGGAAAAATGGATCTTTATATTTGCTTTTAGAGTCATTGTCCTGATATTCTGAGTTAAAATCTCACTGTCACAGAATGTGTACACTAAATGTTCCCTCTTGTGAAAAATAAAATACCAGCTAAGGCACAGGTGACATGAAAGAAAAGTGCTGACGGAGAAAGAAAAATGGTCACCAAAGGTGGCTTCCCAGGTTGCTCAGTGGTAAAGAAGCCACCTGCTAATGCAGAAGACCTGGGTTCAATCCTTGGGTTGGGAAGAAACTCTGGAGAAGGAAATGGCAACCCACTCCAGTATTCTTGCCTGGGAAATCCCACGGACAGAAGGAGACTGGCGGGCTACAGTCCATGGGGCATATGTCATTCGAGTCAGAAAAGGAGAATCTATATGGGCTTGTTTTTAAAACCTTGGAAAACCTTAAAGAGGAGGCTTGTGTATAGGGCCAGAATTAAAAGGAAAAACACACAGAAAAACAGGAGAGAGTCACTCCTGCCCTTCAAATGGGAATATATTGTTTTGAAGGGGTCACAAAAGCAATTTGAGTAACTTGGAAACAGATGTTTACCTGACTTCTTTCAATATATTCTGAAACAATGCCATGTTTATTAAATAACATGTGTGCAAATGAAGAGAGTGTTGTGCTATTATGTGTAAAAAAATGCCCAAAACAAAAGGAAAGGCACAGGAATTAATCATCCAAGTTTTCAGGTGAATAAAAAATCAATGTTCCACATAGTCAGTGAATGTTAAACTTGAAAACAAAGCACTGCAGGCAATTTATATTTAAAGACAGACATGAAATATTTAACTGCAAATAACTAAGTGTATGTATATATTGATGAGGGCTTCCCAGGTGGCACTAGTGGTAAAGAAACTGCCTGCCAATGCAGGAGACACAAGAGACACCGGTTTGATCCCTGGGTTGGGAAGATACCCTGGAGATGGGCATGGTAACCCATGCCAGTATTCTTGCCTGGACAAGAATTCCATGGGTAGCGGAGCCTGGTGGGCTACCGTCCATGGGATTGTAAAGAGTCGGACATGACTGAGTCACTAACACTTTCACACCAATTAAAGTAACATTTTGATGTCTCTGTGGAAATGACGTAGTCACAAGCCCATGTCTCAGCACTGATATTTATGTATTTCAATAGCTAGGTCTTTTCTCTTACTGATATTTTAGAAGCTCAGTTAATTTAAAAACATAAATGTAAGTTGCTTTTAATAATTTTTATAAACCAATGGAGTAGATTTTTCCTTTGAAATCATTTTTTTCCCTTTGGAATTGGATCTGTAAACTAATGAGTAAATACAAAGGGGTGCACAGATAGAATGGATCTTATACTCTTTAATTTTTTCCCTTAAAGGAGAACAACGTGCTGAGACATGGGCTTGTGACTGATATAGAACACACTGATGACAAACCTAGAATTAAATCACCTTTATTGCTAAAAGTTTATTTGACAGTGTTAGGCACAGAGCATCAATGTTAATAACGAAAAGAGCTGAAAGCTTGATGCTTATAATTTGAGAATTGCTGATTATAATCACAAACTCTTTAGGTTTTATATGGGCTTTAACACATAGGATGTCTTGCACTGAAAAAATGTGCTAAGATAAACAAGATGTACCCACTTCAACTACAATTTTTAAAATAATGTGCTTCAGTGTGGCTGATGTTGCACTTGTATCATACAACTTGGGTTCAAGCTCTTTCTCCAAAGCCCTCAGAATAACAGGGACAGAAAAAACTTTTGAAGCATTTGCAGTTCATTATGCAGCTGTTTCAGGAAAGGAAAGAAATATTAAACATCTGCATATTATTTAAGTAATTGTTATATATACTTCATTAAAAAAATAGCCCAATGCTCACATCCCTCTGTAGTTCTCAATATTAAATACACACTACTTACAGCTTCAACGATAATTTTGTCTTGCAGAATGGCCATTTCTTGTCTAATTTCACTTTGCTCATCACTCAGAAAATGCTCATGATCCTTTTCTAACACCTCCATACACTAAAAGAGAAAGTCTAGTTCAGTGAGAAAGCACCACTTTTCATCTCACATTCTAAATGGATACAATTAAAGTTCAAAAGCAATAACACTTAATATTCAAAGGATGCTCACTATTTATTCCAAATAAAAATACTGTAACAAATACATGGAGATCGAAATATTCACTTAAGATATCTTCTAAATACCGACTTGAGTCAAATTGTATTATTACAGTGGTACAGTCACCTTACCCTTTGCTCAAAACAATAACTTAAGGAAGAGTAAAGGTCAAGGGGGAGCAAAAACTAACAGACTGATGGTCCCACGGAATGAAATACCAGAATTTAAAAACCCTCTAATGAGCTTTCTAAACAATAAGTAACAATGCATGTATAGAGACTAATAATGAATGCAACATGGCTCCACTGGAAGGAATAGAATGAGCTCTACTATGACCTCGCTACATGATGAAAAACAAATTTATGTTCTAAATCTTTACCATTCATTCAACAAATATTGACCAAGTGCATTCTATCTAAAAGTAAGAGTAGTCCTCCTTCCATCCTATCTAAAGCAAATGACAACAAAAAAACAAACAAACAAACAAAAACTAAGGAGAGGTTGTAGGCCCAGCTGTGGTTTTCTATACATATTTTTAAAATTAAAAAACAAAAGACAAAAACATTATAACAATTCAGGAAGCACATTCTGCCATGATTATGTAGTGGAAAACAGGACTGATTCTGACTTTGTTGGCAAAAGAATAAGATGTCAATTAGTAAAAGAAGGAGGGAATCAAACTTATTGTAGGCGAGGAGCATATGCAAAGCAAGGAGGTAATGGTGACTTAGTGCAGAGAAAGCAACAAATCTGGACAGGTGGGAGGAGACAAAGAATGTATGTGGGAAACCACAAAGGCAGGAGGGATCTTGTTATGGGGGACATGTTGAACACCTGAAACTTCAAACTCGGAAGCTATAATGACAGGATTGCAGGAGGGAAGGGATAAGTTTTGGAGGATCATTATTACAGAAGTGTGAAGGATGGATTGGAGAGGAGAGAAGTCAGGCAAGAGTTTAATAGAACAAGCAAGGGATGATGAGGCACTGAACCAGGTAGGGCAGCAGCAGTGGGAATTCAAAGGAAGAAATGAAGTAGGTGCAAAACTACTGTACTATACATAAAACAGACAAAGAACACAGGATTTACTATGTAACATAGGGAACTATATTCACTATCTTATAATAAGCTACAATGGAAAATGATTGAAATATATATATGTATGTATATATTTAGAAACATATGTGTGTGTGTGTGTGTATATATATATATATATATATATATATATATATATATATGCAGCACGGCAGGCCTTCTTGCCCATTACCAACTCCCGGAGCCCACCCAAACCCATGTCCATTGAGTCGGTGATGCTATCCAACCATCTCATCCTGAGTTGTCCCCTTCTCCTCCTGCCATAATCTTTCCCAGCATCAGGGACTTTTCAAATGAATCAGCTCTTCACATCAGGTGGCCAAAGTATTGGAGTTTCAGCTTCAACATCAGTCCTTCCAATGAACACCCAGGATTGATCTCCTTTAGGATGGACTGGTTGGATCTCCTTGTAGTCCTAGGGACTCTCAAGAGTCTTCTCCAACACCACAGTTCAAAAGCATCAATTCTTTACCTCTCAGCTTTCTTTATAGTCCAACTCTCACATCCATACATGACCACTGGAAAAACCATAGACTTGACTAGATGGACCTTTGTTGGCAAAGTAATGTCTCTGCTTTTAAATATGCTGTCTAGGTTGGTCATAATTTTCCTTCCAAAGAGTAAGCATCTTTTAATTTCATGGCTACAGTAACCATCTGCAGTGATTTTGGAGCCCAGAAAAATAAAGTCAGCCACTGTTTCCACTGTTTCTCCATCTATTTGCCATGAAGTGATGGGACCAGATGCCATGATCTTAGTTTTCTGAATGTTGAGCTTTAAGCCAACATTTTCACTCTCCTCTTTCACTTTCATCAAGAAGCTGTTTAGTTCTTCTTCACTTTATGCCATAAAGGTGGTGTCATCTGCATTTCTGAGGTTATTGGTATTTCTCCCATCAATCTTTATTCCAGCTTGTGCTTCCTCCAGCCCAGTGTTTCTCATGATGTACTCTGCATATAAGTTAAATAAGCACGGTGACAAATATAGCCTTGACATACTCCTTTTCCTATTTGGAACCAATCTGTTGTTCCATGTCCAGTTCTAACTGTTGCTTCCTGACCTGCATACAGATTTCTCAAGAGACAGGTCAGGTGGTTTGGTATTCCCATCTCTTTCAGAATTTTCCACAGTTTATTGTGATCCACAGAGTCAAAGGCTTTGGTATACTCAATAAAGCAGAAATAGATATTTTTCTGGAATATGTATCTAAATATATATGTATGTATATGATCTACATATACACCCAAGCCAGGGTTCAATAGTACATGAACCATGAACTTCCAGATGTTCAAGCTGGATTTAGAAAAGGCAGAGGAACCAGAGATCAAATTGCCAGGATCTGCTGGATCATCAAAAAAGGGAGAGAGTAAAAAAAAAAAAATCTACTTCTGCTCTATTGACTATGCCAAAGCCTTTGACTGTGTGGATCACAACAAAGTGTGAAAAATACACATGTATGTATATATATGCATAACGAATCAGGTTGCTGTATACCAAAAACTAAACACAATGTTGTAAACCAAACAGACTTCAATTTTCTAAAATGAAAGAAATTGCAGATGCAGAGCTAAAAATTGCAGAGCCCAGTAATTGCTGGGTGGGAAGGACAAGGGACTTGGAGGTGTCAAAGATAACACTGAAGTTAGTACCATAAATGCTGACATTTAGCAATGTCCTTCAGAAGCAATCTTCTTTGGTACTTTATCAAATCTTCACACTGATTAGTGGCACATTGTTCTCAGGGAACATTAGAGCTACACCTTGCCTACTTAGAAACATGTTCAAGATAACTTTTGCACATATATGATTCTAAAGCTCTTTAAAGATTATCTATTTAAAAGCCTTTTACTAGTTTACTTAAGCCATCTCAATTAGTTTAAAAAAAGTGACACATTAACATCTTGTATTTGGACAAGATGGTCACTCAAAAGAGCACTTCTGCTTCCTCTCCAAGGAAAAAGAAGGGGAATGTGCAGGGTTCCATCAACTCCTGAGTAAGTATGCACATATATATATGAAGAAAGGGACAACAGGCACTGAGGACAGTTTGCTAATGTGCAAATATCACAGCAAATCACTCTCAATCCACAAACATGTAGTCCTCTTCTGGGTTTTTCATTCAGTTATACACTTTGACTTTCTCATGTGATTATAAATTTGCATATAAAGTCACTATTAGTTACTCATATTCTAAAAGCAAATACACCATAAATGCTCATACAATGCATTTGAAAACAGAAAAGGTCTTCACTAATTACAACTGCCTGACTTTATATGCAGCAGCAACTGTTAATAGGAGAAAGGTAAAAGACACCTATAGATGATTTATTAAATTCCTAAATTTCCAGTATATATTTGTCCTTGGCTGATCACCTAAATACAATTGCTGAACAAAATAGTTATGATAAAAAGGTTAATCAAGTACCAGTTTTCTGCACCATGTATATACATCTAGATTAAATTCCCAGTTTGCAGTTCCCCATTTTAAATGATTCCCACAAAACTATAGGCATCCCTGATGGCTCAGATGGTAAAGAATCTGCCTGCAATGTGGGAGACCTGGGCTTGATCCCTGGGTCAGGAAGATCCCCTGGAGAAGGGAGTGGCAATCGACTCCAGTATTCTTGCCTGGAGAATTCCATGGACAGAGGCTACAGTCCACAGGATTGCAAAGAGTCAGACATGACTGAGTGACTAACACTTTCACTTTCACAAAAGTATAAAGAAATCCTAAAACTAAAAACACATTTACCAATTAGGCTGTATTCAGACCAATGAATTAAAAATGGAGAATGTTTAACAAGTTAAAGGCAGGCACAACCTACAGTGTTTTTTTGCCCCCATAAGTTTGGATAAACACAGACTATCTTCTACTTTTATATGCATATTGTTTTTATGAGAATGTACTGTGCTACCAAATACAACAGACCTTCAGGAATTGCTTGTATGAATTTTTAATTTTTTTCAGCCTCTGGCTCTGAAGAAGTCTAGCTTGTTGAAGAACATTTCGTTGCTCTCGAAACATGTGCTACAAATATAAAAGAAAAAAGTAAAATGTGGGCAACGTTTAATATTTGGAAAGCAGGTTTATACATTAAGCTTTAAAGGAACTCTCTCTAACTCAATGCTTGTTAACATTTCCTGTTTTGACAACTTTGATGACCAAGTTGAAGTAACTGTGTTCACGACTACAAGACAGAAACCATGTAATAATCCTACCCTATCAGTCACTGAGTAGGAGATATTCTTTCTTAACAATCTTCAAAACATGTCATTCTTGAGGTCAAAATCCACAAATGACCCTTCCAATAATGTGTTTACCACAGGTAGGCAAAATCTACAAAGTAATCCTTCTTAACAGTAATTGCTGAGGAACTATTCTTTCTTAACAATACTCAAAATATATATTAATTCTTGTCCCCTTCAATATGCACATAGATGATCCTTCCAATAGCTGGCCTTTCCGTTCTTTGACCTAAACTCCAACAATAAACTTACCCTCTTCTTTACATTAGCCACTCACTTATATAGTCATACCCCATAGTCACGGGATTCAGTCATTCCCAAGAACTGCCCCGGCTACATGATATTAATTAGAGCAAAGACTTATACAGCATCTACGGGTCAGGTATGGCTCCAGTGACTTTAATAAACTTCTTCTATATGATCTCATTTTTGTATTCCTCAAAAAGTCTCTATGAGTACGCACTCTCACTGTGTTCCCTTTCATAGATGAGGAAACTGAGACACACAGATAAACAATCTGTCCTTGGTTTCACAGCTAGCACTGGTCAACCAGGATTGGACCCCAAACATTTACCGTTCCAGAGTCCGGGCCCTAGACCACTGTACTACATATACTTTTTCATTTCCCCTAGCATTCAACCACTACCTCCCTGTTTTGCACTTCATTCCCTTTCTTGCTACATACAGGTCAACACTACATCAGGATTAACATCCGCTGATGCTAGGACTGTTCATTGTCCCCAACCCCCACTCTCTTGACTTCCTCTTTCCTCCTTCTCAACTTAAACCCCACCATTGATCATTACACCTATGCCCTTGTGCATGTACCTTGGCCCCTTCTTTGTCAGTCTTCATGACTAAACCCCAATCCTGGGAAATCCGCCTCTCCAGCTGCTCTGCATCAGCCATGTGGAGTGGCCTCACTTTAAATTCATGATCACTAGGACAGCAACTTAAGTTGCACCCATAATTGCTGCTTGGCAATGGGATCTCCCTGGTCCTCTCAGGAAACATTCCAAGGCTTCTTCTCTGTCCCCCAAAGGCAACAACTTATCCACCATCCTTAATGCTAAATGGTGACTTTACTACTTCACTAAATAAACAGAGGCACTCCCAAGAGAACACTCATTCTCCCTTCACTACATCCCCCACCCACCTTCACCCATCTGAATTCAGGGGCTCTACCTTCTCTCCTGCATCATTGCCTGAGCGATTTGCTAATTGAGACTTTGATACAATAAGCTGATTTTAAAGCTAAGGCTGATACCAACAGCTAGTTTTTCTTCTTGTTCCTGGGCTTTCTTCATGTCTAAATCCCACTCCCGAAACAAAGTCTGAAACTGCTGAGCATATTCGAGAGAAAGATTCTGCCTGTAAAACATAAGAAAGAGTAGTGTCAAACTCCACAAAGATACAAACAAATATCAACTGTATTTAAAACAAAATTGATCTGACACAATTTACACTATAAAAGAAGAAAGCAGTAATAGCACAATAGCAGCTGAAATATTCTCACAGGAAACAGAGAGATTAAGTGGATAACTTACTCTTCAGTTCCAAAAGTACTGCTCCTGACTGAATAAATCCAAACACTATCGCACATGCTCTCCACTTCTTGAAATCTAGTGACAATTTATTGTACTATGAATTTCCCAGAAACATTCATTTTATCTATTAATAAAAGCAGTTTACTTTTCATTTCTTCTTACTGAATATCCTATATGTCCTAGTATGATAAGTAGATTCAGTCAGCTTATACTATCTATTTATCAGAGAAGATTACCAAATAGGAATATTTCACTTAACTATTTCCCCTCTTTGGCACAACAATGAATTTTGAAAAAAAGAACAGTAAACACAACTCAGTTAAATGGTACAAATTTTTCACAATATAAGATTACCCTTTTCTGCATAACTGAACATAGTTAACTGTCACAAGAATAATGGTTTAAGACATCAGCCTTATGTTCAGCTAGGATAGGTCTAGAATGAATATAATTTAATTACATAGAATGAAAACTCAATTGTTCTTTGAAAGGGGAAGGAAAAAGGTCATCTTTATTGTCTTCTAGGAAATATATCTCAATTCTCTTAAGGAGTAGGATTACAAAACTAATGGCCTTACCTGGTTAGGAAAAAAAAAATCAAGCAAAATATGTTTTGCACTGGAAAATGTAATAGTGTTTGTCTTAGGTTATATGTATCATCAGATACTAAGAAATTATACAAAATGTCATTGTGGCACAAAAACTTAAACCACTTTTACCTTTGTTCTTGGTGTGTTTTACAAACACTATCAAGTTTTTCATTAGTGATTTTGAAAGTAGCTCTTGTGTTCATCTCAAACTTTTTTCTCTTTGCAAGAAGAGCCTGTTTCATGTCAACTATATAAAAAAATATTTACTCATTAAAGTCAAATGTTGTTCTGATACATTCAAATCAATATGGGCAAATGCTGCCTCAGCAATATGCAGAGACACTTAAGATTTATAATATACAGACACTATTTCAAAATGCAAGATTTGCTCACTTTTCTCTGGAAAAACCTTTCCAGTACTAGTATCATGACTCTAATTTTTCTAACCACAGACCACCTTTAGATTTAGAGATACTGGAAAAGTGATAACAATCAAAGCATTTTCCAAGTTTCAAAACATTTATAAAGAATCTCAAGAGGAAACTTTCCATTCATTCCTCATCAGAAAACAGTGAAAAGGCAACTCTTTCTAACTGTGTAAAATATCCTGTAGTTCAAGGGACATGTTTAGATGGATTACCATTAGGATGTGTTGCAAAAATCACAGAAAAGAATCCTTCATGAAAGTATCCTTCAAAAGGATAAAAATCATTATATTGCACAAAACTGATTTTTCAAGCAATCTAGTGAGTGATGCTTTTGACTGTATTTCACTAAAGGAGACAAAGACCAGGGGTATAAGAACCCAGTTTTCAAGTAAGCAGTTCAGGAACATTTAAAAAATATTTTTCCCGGAGCTTTGTACATAATGTTTTTTTGTTTTTGTTTTTGTTTTTTTTAGGTTTTTTTTTCCCATTTTATTTTTTTTTATTTTTATTTTTTCCCATTTATTTTTATTAGTTGGAGGCTAATTACTTTACATCATTGCAGTGGTTTTTGTCATACATTGAAATGAATTAGCCATGGATTTACATGTTTTTATCTGTAAGTGCTGCATTTCACAAAGATTTATTCCTTTAAGATAAGCTTTGCAAATCACATGGTTTGATTTTATGGGCCAACAATAGTTATCTTTCAGTAATCATGAAGGGTCTGCAATATAATAAAAATAATTTATACATCCAGAATCTATACATAATAAATGGTTCACCAGGCAGCTCACAAAAGAAGCACCTCGTCCCAACGAAGCAGACCAAAGTATTCAGAGCATATTTGCCTGTGAGGGTGATCTCTATCAAAGGGTCACAAATTGCCCCAGATGCTTTCCTAAGTGTACTGTCCTCTAACACAGATATGGTAACTAGTAATTGACAGAACAGTAAAATTCTTCCACGTTTGGGGACCTGATTATACATCTCTCACTAGCTAGGAGAGTTGTCTCTAGTTTTCTCTGACACAGATTATAAATGTTTAAATAATGAAAAAGGATTCCATTTCTGCTGCTAACCAAAGAAAAGAACATCAGAAATTCATGAGAAGTAATTAAATTAAGACTATTTAAAATTGACCTGAAACACTGATACGTCACTTTAGTTGTGCACGCCAAAGGTGGTACAAACTATCTCATCCATTTCCTTACACGGTCCATTCAGGGTACACAGGCACAAATTAAAGCATCATTCTTGGTTCATCAACAATGTTAGTACCATTTTCACTTTGCAAAAACCTACAAAACCTAAAAGTCAAAACACACTGAATACTTGCATAAAATCCTGCATCTGAGAAGAAGTCTTATAATCCACCGATTTAACATCTAACTTTATAAAAGCTACATGGTTTAAAAAATTTTTCATTAATTATAAATATTACTCAAACATACCTCTAAATTCTTCCAGCATTTTCTGTATTTCATTCCTGTGAAGAAGTTACATCAAATATTATTCAATAAAGACAACCTAAAAGACCATACTTGTTATGAAAGAAATCCCCCACTCAAGGATTTCACATTGGAAGTTTTGGCCACAGAAATCAGAGCAGAAAAAGAAATTAAAGGAATCCAGATAGGAAAAGAAGAATTGAAACTCTCGCTGTTTGCAGATGACATGATCCTCTACATAGAAAATCCTAAAGACTCTACCAGAAAATTACTAGAGCTAATCAACGAATACAGTAAAGTTGCAGGATATAAAATTAACACACAGAAATCTCTTGCATTCTTATACACTAACAATGAGAAAACAGAAAGAGAAATTAAGGAAATAATACCATTCACCATTGCAACAAAAAGAATAAAATACTTAGGAGTATATCTACCTAAAGAAACAAAAGACCTATACATAGAAAACTATAAAACACTGATGAAAGAAATCAAAGAGGACACAAACAGATGGAGAAATATACCGTGTTCATGGATTGGAAGAATCAATATTGTCAAAATGGCTATACTACCCAAAGCAATCTACAGATTCAATGCAATCCCTATCAAACTACCAACGGTATTTTTCACAGAACTAGAACGAATAATTTCACAATTTGTATGGAAATACAAAAAACCTCGAATAGCCAAAGTAATCCTGAGAAAGAAGAATGGAACTGGAGGAATCAATCTGCCTGACTTCAGACTATACTACAAAGCCACAGTCATCAAGACAGTATGGTACTGGCACAAAGACAGAAATATAGATCAATGGAACAGAATAGAAAGCCCAGAGATAAATCCACGAACCTATGGTCACCTTATCTTTGACAAAGGAGGCAAGGATATACAATGGAAAAAAGACAACCTCTTTAACAAGTGGTGCTGGGAAAACTGGTCAACCACCTGTAAAAGAATGAAACTAGAACACTTTCTAACACCATACACAAAAATAAATTCAAAATGGATTAAAGATCTAAATGTAAGACCAGAAACTATAAAACTCCTAGAGGAGAACATAGGCAAAACACTCTCCGACATAAATCACAGCAGGATCCTCTATGACCCACATCCCAGAATTTTAGAAATAAAAGCAAAAATAAACAAATGGGACCTAATGAAACTTAAAAGCTTTTGCACAACAAAGGAAACTATAAGCAAGGTGAAAAGACAGCCCTCAGATTGGGAGAAAATAATAGCAAACGAAGCAACAGAAAAAGGATTAATCTCAAAAATATACAAGCAACTCCTCCAGCTCAACTCCAGAAAAATAAATGACCCAATCAAAAAATGGGCCAAAGAACTGAACAGACATTTCTCCAAGGAAGACATACAGATGGCTAACAAACACATGAAAAGATGCTCAACATCACTCATTATCAGAGAAATGCAAATCAAAACCACAATGAGGTACCATTACACACCAGTCAGGATGGCTGCTATCCAAAAGTCTACAAGCAATAAATGCTGGAGAGGGTGTGGAGAAAAGGGAACCCTCTTACACTGTTGGTGGGAATGAAAATTAGTACAGCCACTATGGAAAACAGTGTGGAGATTTCTTAAAAAGCTGGAAATAGAGCTGCCATATGACCCAGCAATCCCACTTCTGGGCACACACACCGAGGAAACCAGATCTGAAAGAGACACGTGTACCCCAATGTTCATCGCAGCACTGTTTATAATAGCCAGAACATGGAAGCAACCTAGATGCCCATCAGCAGACGAATGGATGAGGAAGTTGTGGTACATATACACCATGGAATATTACTCAGCCATTAAAAAGAATTCATTTGAATCAGTTCTAATGAGATGGATGAAACTGGAGCCCATTATACAGAGCAAAGTAAGCCAGAAAGATAAAGACCATTACAATATACTAACACATATATATGGAATTTAGAAAGATGGTAACGATAACCCTATATGCAAAACAGAAAAAGAGACTCCGATGTATAGAACAGACTTGTGGACTCTGGGAGAAGGCGACGGTGGGATGTTTCAAGAGAACAGCATCGAAACACGTATATTATCTAGGGTGAAACAGATCATCAGCCCAGGTTGGGTGCATGAGACAAGTGCTCGGGCCTGGTGCACTGGGAAGACCCAGAGGGATCGGGTGGAGAGGGAGGTGGGAGGGGGGACCGGGATGGGGGATACATGTAAATCCATGGCTAATTCATTTCAATGTATGACAAAAACCACTGCAATGATGTAAAGTAATTAGCCCCCAACTAATAAAAATAAATGAAAAAAAAAAAAAAAAAGGATTTCACAGACAATACTTGTTACATGATCCAAGCTGACTTTACCTAGCAGGTAAAAATTGCTATAAAACATTACCGCAAATCTTCCTGAAATGTTTCTGCAGAGGGCTGTTTCCCCCCGAGGGTTTCAGTCACTGAGCTGTTTTCTGCACAGAAATAAAAATGGAAAACATTTTAAAACTGATGTATGACATTTTGGTCAGGTTTCCTGAAGAAACAGCCTCACTGTAGAGGGTCCAGGCTTTGCCCCAACAAAAGCTTCTTAAAGCAGACATCTCAAGAGGAATCATGTATGTGCAGGTCAGATGAAGTTAGGTCAGGGACCAGGACCACTTTTTGGAGACAGTGTTATAAGCCTTTCAGGGTTGACCAGCAGGTGAAAGAAACTGTAACACCCTGGGAAATGGTTTGGAAAGAAGGATGTGCAAGCTGTTATGAAGGAGAGCTGCTAGGAAGCTTACAGGGCAGTCCCAGTTTGGGATATGAGGCTGAACTGGGCAGTCTCTGACACATGACACAGCTTGGCACACACATGGCTTTCCCTGCTTACCATGTGGAGGACTGGGAAGCAGTGACCCAAGGGACAGGGTTACTGCCTGACCCCGCACCTCCACCCTCACCCATGCACTGTGATCTGCAAAGGTTTCCAACAGACCATACCTTGGCAAACAATCTCTGGCTCACTCAGCTCTCTTCTCTCTTGACTCCCAGAGTCACAGGCTGCCATATCCTGAACCTCCATCAGGGCATCCTGAGTCTTCTTCGAGGCATGCTTAGCCCTCCTGAGACGCTTCCTCCAAGGCCTCTCCATCTACTCGCGTCTTCCGAGGTACAGACAGCACGCCTGCACCCTGGGAGCACAAATGTAAAGACACAGATTGGCACAAGGTCAACGGGCGATGGCCGGCATGGGTCCTCCATGGCAGATCAGTGTGTGTATTCTTCTGTCTCTTGTTGGACCAGGAGCTGATGAAGCACGCAGTGATCATGACCCCCTCCCCCCAGCACTGTGATGGAGGACTGGCTCCTGCACCGCCCCTCACAGCCCTGTGCTGCCCGCGGACATCTTAGTGTCAAGACCCTCTGAGGACAGAGTGTCAGAATCCCACGTGGGGACAGAGGCTGACCCCTTTGCCTTGCATCCCCAAGGATCAGGTGTTGAACAGGGAGGCCTGATCACAGGCAGGACAAATCTGAGTGTCCCTCCATAGGGGTAGGGAATGAATCATTCAGCACCTGTCCAGGCACAGTAGGGTTGGGGGCCTTCCTGACACGCCATCTGGACCCCACGATGACCTCAGGACACTGGCCCATCCTTCCTGCCCGGTGACCAGGCAGGAAGGGCAGATCTGAGTGGATGATGCTTGCCCACCTTCTGAGACTCTCCTGGGTTGTGGGGACCGACAGCTCTCCCCAAACCCTGCCTGCTGGCCCAGCCCTCGGGGTCCTCCTTCTGCCCGGCTGGAGGCCAAGGGGAAGCCTTGGGGACATCGCCTCAGAGGCCAGCCTGGCTGCCACAGCCCCACACTCTGGTTCCTTCAAGTCTGAGAAGATGGCGCCGCCCCTCCCCAGCCCTGCTCACGGTCATGTGGTGCCGCCGGCCTCCCTGAGGGTCCCTCTGTCCCCCTCTTGGATCCCTCTGCCTGTCCCTCCCTCCCTCCATCCTTCATCCACACAGGGTGAGCTCCTCACCACAATCTCCAAACTGCGAACCTCACACCACATACGCGATGCTCCTCTCAGGACCTCGGGACAGCCCGGAAGCAACTGGCCTCTCCTGAGAGGGAACAGTGCCAATTGGCTGGCACAGTGCACATGCGGGAGGCGGGGCCTGGGCCTCACCCAGCCCCTTACAGAACAGCTCTGGGGGGGGGGTGCTCAGGCTGGGGACCCACGCTGCGGCTCTCCAGGTTCTGCCTGCCGAGGACAGTGCCCTTGCGGGCCGTTTTCCTGGGAAATCACAGAAGGCCAGGGGAGTGAGGAACAGGTGCTCCAGCCTCTGCCCGCCTGATGAAGGAGCATTTACCAACTCCTAGTCACTCTCCTCCTGGTTTCCGTTCCATTCACTCCCTTCCACTTGCAGATGAAGAGCCATACTGCAGGGTGTCTTATACAAACCATCACCCCCCCATTTTCCATTTGGATTTTCCTTTTTTTTTTAAAGACACTGTTATCTCATCTTTAAATAGTCTTGCTTACACTTGTTGTCTGCAAATCACCATCAATTGTATCAGGTTCTCTGTGGTCTTCCGCCACTTCCTCTTTGCATCACTTGACATTGGGGTAGTATCAACCAGTATCTACAGTGTGACCTGTCTCCACTGGGCTTTCTCTTTCCCTGCTCTGTCATGTACCCTTGTGGAGCCATGACTCCCTTTGTCCCTCCATTTTTCTTCTTGTCCCTGGACATCTGCATGCTTTCCACCTGAGAGCCCTTCAGAGCACCAATGCAAGCAGTGTTCTGATGTCTAGCCCATGTGCAATATGCATTTCAGTGTTTAAAGGAGTGAGATGGCTAGGTCATAGGCTTACTGAGTGCAGGGAAACTGTGTCCAACTTCTTCCTGCACCAGCGGGTTGAGTCCCATTGTTCCATATCCTCACCAAATACATGGTGGAATAGGGATTCTTGCCTGTTGGCACTCTAGTGGGTGTAAAATTGCATTGGGGAAAATTATTCTTTTGCATGTCTCCAGTCACTCATATGGTTGAACTCTATTTTTATGCTGAATGACCATTTCAATTTTTTCTCCGTGACAAGTGTCACTGGGGGAGATTTTTCAATTTTCCCTTTGGTAGAAGGGTTTTGTTATAAGTTCATAGAAGTCACAGGTATGTTGGGATATTAGTCTTTATATGTGTGTTTTTCTGTGCTGTTAAAAGAGCTTTATCTTTACTCTGGTGTTGTAACATCTTTCTCCTGAATTTTTTTTATGCTTTTAAGGCTGATTTTTCATTTTTGAATAGGTGTTCCTGGGGAAACTGGTGTTTTTTGCTGACATCATATAGAGCTCCAATTGCTTTATTTCCCTTCATGTGGACATTCAGATTTGACATATTCACTAATTGAATAGTGTATACTTTCCTCACAATCACATCATTTATAAAAATGTACATCTTTGCACACACTGATTCAAATTCCACCTTTATCATACCATAGATTTCTGTGTGTTATTTGGTCTAGTCTGTGCTTCCCATTACATTCCATTGGTTATTCTGTCTATTTGTGGTCCAAGACCACACTGTTTTAATTATAGAGACTTTGGGCTATCCTGTAATATGTGGTTAGCTTGTTCTCATGTAAAGCTCTTTCCTTTGGTTGTTTTTGTAGTTTTCTTGCTTTTTTTCTATTCTATCATTTTGATATCTCTGGGAGGAGAGGGAAGAACTTGCTGGCATTTGTATGGGATTGCATTAAAACTGTAAGTTATCTCAGGGAAAACTAACATCCGGATGATGTTGAAAGGTCCTAACAAGAGACAAGATGATACACAGCTAACTGATATTTTAACAAGTGTCCAATATAACAATTGGATTTAAAAGTTCCAAAATCATAATTTGCAAAGTTAATCTTCAAAGAAGACCTCTGAAGCAGCCTTCCCATCTGTCTGTCTGTCAGTCACCTGTGTGTGTGTGTGTGTGTGTGTGTGTGTGTTCACTCACTCAGCACTTTGGAACTTGTTCTCACCCCAATTTCGGTGCGTATTCTCTGGCATCTTGGTTCCTTAAGTGTCCTCATCTAAAATGACCTGCTCCTGCACTCTGTTTTATTTGGGGAATACATGTAAATCCATGGCTAATTCATTTCACTGTATGACAAAAACCACTGCAATGATGTAAGTAATTAGCCTCCAACTAATAAAAATAAATGACAAAAATAAATAAATAAAAAATTTAAAAAAAAAACTACATCAACTTCGAGGGCCTCACCCAAAGTTGCTCTGTCTTAAAAATCTGCCCTTCTTATATCATGCACTTGAACTACTGCCTCCTATCCTTCCAGTTCCCCCACCATATCCATTTACCAGCCTCATCAGAACACCCACTCCACTGGCCCTTTTTCTTTCCTATGTCCACAAATCCTCCTAGCTTCTCATGAGTGAAGGTCCAGCATCTCAGTCAGTTCCTTCCCTATAACCTCCTGGGATGCCCCTGCCTTTGTCAGGTGAAATCCAATTTTTCTGAAAACCTGACTCTCTTTACTTTTGCTGGCCCCTGCCACGGTGGAGAAAATTACCTAAGATGGCCAAGAATTAGCACCTTGGATTGATGACTGACAGCCTCAACCAGGCCCACAAGTTCCTCCCCACTTATCCCATTTGCATCTGGTCAACCCACTTTCTCCACTTGCCATTTTTGACATTTTCCACTCTGCTCCACCTTTAATCCTGTTCCTTACCCTCACAACTCCCCTGCCATGCTCAGCAACTCACTCTCTCCCTATTTTTCTGAGAAAAAATGGTTCAGATGGAAACCCCAGCACCTATTGCCCTCAAACCTACAGGCCACCTGCACCTGTCCCAAACTGTCCCCCTGTCTGAGGAGAGAGGGCCTCACCGCTCTGTTCAAGGGCACATGGCCTCCTGTCTTCCAGGAACCTTGCAGTATCCACTCTTTTATCCATCCTCTATCTCGAGCCTCTCTTTCTCTTTCCCACCACTCCCACTAACCTTTGCATGTATTCAAATCTCCTTCAACTCAAAGGAGAACCTCTTGGCTCTATTTTCAATCAAACCACCCTACCCCCACTCTCCTTCTCTTAGCAGTCAAAGGTCTATCAAGACTTGTGTATGCTTGTTGCCTCAATTTCCTCCCCTCCCATGTGCTCTGTGACCTACTGTAAGCCAGCACAACATGAACTCCCACAACTCTTCAAATGGCATTCACCTGAAAGCTGCCAGTGACCTCTGTGTGGCTAAACCGAGTGGATTTGGTCTTCATCTCTTTTGATTTGCAGCAGCATTCATCACCAAAAACTGCCTCTTGCTTTTCTTTGCCCTCTTCCTGTGTTCCTTTGGCTTCCATAAGTACATATTCTCTGGTTATCCTCTTGTCCATCTGGCCACTTCTCAGTAACTTTGCTACCTCTGCCTCCCCTGACACTAGTGGGAAGTTACATGGTGGGCCTCTCCAGAACTCGCCTTCACTCTGCTCCCTTCTCGACTTATACCCTTTCTCTTACATTTCCATATATTCCCGCCAGGGTACAATTACCATTTACATCAGAGTTTCTCAAGGTGTGGAGCATGCACCAGCCTGCCTCGGGATTACAGGTTAGTGGGTATGTTAAAATCCAGATGCCCAGGGACTTCCCTGGTGGTCTGGTGGCTAAGACTCTGTGCTCCTAATGCAGTAGGCCCAGGTTCAATCCCTAATCAGGGAACTAGTTCTCATATGTCACAACTGAGAACTCACATGCCCCAGCTAAGGATCTCACATGCCTCAAGGAATATTGCTGTAACAGAGGCCCTGCACAGTCAAATAAATAAATAATCCAGTCTCCTTGGCCTTATGCAAGGCCCACAGAAACAACTCCGCGGGTAGGCACTGGGAAGCTACATTTTAAATGCATTCTCCAGGTTGCTCTCAACCCCACTAAAGTTGGAACCACTGTATTTGTGAAGGACGGTCTGGCTGACATTCACAAAGGCAGCTCAACATCTCCACTTGCTGGCTTCCTGACACTAGTGTCTTAGTTTCCCAATTAGAGTCCAGGGATGCTAAGAAAGGATCAAAAACGAGGGAAAAAGAAAAAAAAATAAAACACACACACACACACACACACACACACACACAAAGAAAACAAAGAACA